CCGTTGTCAAGTGTGAGCATTTACTAAACTTAAAAGGAAATTTGAAGTTGCAGTTCCTATGGCAACTACAGCTTAGACACATTGCAAATTCACATATATTAATATATTTAAATCAAATTCTCATATACAAATATAATGTGATGGATTTAGAGTTGCTATGGAAATTGAGGCTGTGCTTTCTCTTTTCCTCAGGGACTTGAGTGTTCCAGCCTTAAAATCAGATCAATAGAAATATTAGAAAAATGGTTTCAAAAAGGAAGCAACCTAAGAAGTATAACAGAATAAAGTACTTGCACAATCACACTTAAATCCCTAAATGTAAATAGAAATAAATCCTAACAGTGTATTTCCAAAACTACTGAATATGTAAATACTCTCCCAATTAACTTTAATTTGGGTTCTCTAAGGCTATTCATATAATCTTAACAGGGTGTTCATGTTTATTGGTGTATTTAAGTGTTTACACATTTGTTGAGCACCTGTAATCTAAGTAAGCACTGCCTGTCACCTCCTTTGGGGAAAAGAGTTGCTTTTAATTTCCCAAAAAGTTTCTGTTCTGTGTTTTTAGAAGAGGCAGTGAAATGTGGCAGTGTATAGTGATTTTGTCCTTGTTCCAACCTTAATTTTATGGCCCAAAATATGGTCTCGCTTGGTCCGTATACCTTGTTCATTTGAAAAGAATATGTATTCTGCAGTTGTTGTTGCGTAGCGTTTTAGAAATATCAGATCAAGGTAGTGGATAGTGTTTTTCAGATCCTCTATGCTTTTACTGAGTTTTGTTTGTGTCTAGTTCGAATAATTGCTGTGAAGAGGGTGTTACATTGATTGTGGAATTGTCTTTTCTCCCTTTACTTCCTCTCAGTTTTTGTGTCCTGTATTGGGGCTCTGTTGTGAGATACATACATTGTTACGCTAAATCATTCCAATGAATTGACCTTTGTATTTTATGAGATGTCCCTCTTTATCTTCGTTAAAACTCTTAGTCTTGAAGTCTATTTTATCTGATACTAAACAGCCATGCTAGCTTTCTTATGCTTACTGCTTGCATGGTATATCTTTCCCCATGATACGTTAAACTTCTACCCGTCTTTGAGCTCATATTTAAAGTGTGCGGCTTATAAAAAGCATGTGATTGGGTCTTGCATTGTTATTCATCCTCATAATCTCTGGACGTTGGACTCTCCAGTCTGTTACAACTTAATGTAACTGTTGATTTAGCTGGATTTAGGTCTACCATATTATCATTTGTTTTCTGCTTATCTCCTCTTTTTTTTCTGTTTTCCTGTTGTCTTCTGGATTTTTTATGATTATTTTTTCAAGTTTTATTTGGAAATAACTTACATCGTTTATGAGTTTCATGAGTACAACATAATAGTTTGATTTAGATGTATTGTGAAATGATTACCACAATAGGTTCAGCTAACATCCATCTTCTCATATAGATACAATAAAAAAAGAAGAAAACAATCTCTCCTTATGATAAGAACTCTTAGGATCTACTCTCTTAACTTTCCTACAGATCCTACATCAGTGTTAGCGGTCACCATCATGTTATACGTTACATCCCTGGTGCTTATTTATCTGATAACTGGAAGTTTGTACCTTTTGGCTACCTTCCAGTTCACCTCTCCCTGCTCTCTGCCTCTGGTAACCACAAGTGTGATCTCTTTTACTGAGTTTATTTGTTTGTGTGTTTGTTTTAAAGAGACCACATGTAAGTGAGATCATACAATCTTTGTCTTTCTGTGTCATTTATTTCACTTAGCATAATCCCTTCAAGGTCCTCCTTCCATGTTGTTGCAGATGGCAGAATTTCATCATTTTTTATGGCCTAAAAATACTGTGTGCGTGTACCACAGTTTCTTTATCCATACATCCATCATTGGACATTAAAGTAATTTCCATGTCTTGGCTATTGTAAATAGTGCTATGAACATGGGGGTGCAGATACCTTTTGAGTTAGTGTTTTCATTTCCTTTGGATAAATACCCAGAAGTTGAATTGGTGGGTCATATGGTAATTCCATTTTTAATTTTTTGGGATCTTCCTTACTGTTGTCTTAGTGGCTGCACCAATTTACATTCCCACCAATAGTACACAGGGGTGCCCTTGTGTACTACACACATCCACACCAGTATTTGTTATTTCTTATCTTTTTGGTGATAGCCATTTTAATAGGCATGAAGTGATATCTCATTGTGGTTGTTTTTTTTTTTTTAATGCTCATTTATTTTTGAGACAGTGTGAGCAGGGGAGGGGCAGAGAGAGAGGGAGACACAAAATCTGAAACAGGTTCCAGGCTCTGAGCTGTCAGCACAGAGCCTGACTTGGGGCTCAAACTCACAAACTGTGAGATCATGACCTGAGCCGAAGTCAGACACTTAATTGACTGAGCCATCCAGGTGCCCCACTCTCATTGTGGTTTTAATTTACATTTCCCTAATGAATGCTGATGTTGAGCATCTTCCCATATACCTATTGGCCTTCCATATATCTTTGAAAAAATGTCAATTCATGTGTTTTGTCACATTTTTTCACTTTTTTTTTTAAATATGAAATTTATTGTCAAATTGGTTTCCGTACAACACCCAGTGCTCATCCCAGCAGGTGCCCTCCTCAGTACCCATCACCCACCCTCCCCTCCCTCCCACCCCCTATCAACCCTCAGTTTGTTCTCAGTTTTTAAGTCTCTTATGTTTTGGCTCCCTCCCTCTCTAACCTTTTTTTTTCCCTTCCCCTCCCCCATGGTCTTCTGTTACGTTTCTCAGGATCCACATAAGAGTGAAAACGTAAGGTATCTGTCCTCTGTATGTTTTGTCCATTTTTTTTAATTGTTATTTGAGTTGAGTTATTTGGGTTTTTTTGCTCTTGTGCTGTAGGAGTTCTTTATGTATTTTGGATATTAATCTCTCATCAGATATATGGTTTGCAAATATTTCTCCCATTCTCTAGGTTGTCTTTTAACTTTGTTGATGGTTTCTTTTGCTGTGCAGGAGCATTTTACTTCAGTGTAGTCCCACTTGTGTTTTTGGTTGCTTGCACTTTAGTTGCCATATCCATATTCTGGATTTTTCAGATATTGTATATTCCAACTTACTTGATTGCCTTTCTAACTATATCTCTTTGCATTAATTTTTTCAGTGGTTGCTCTAAGAATTACAATATATATACTTTCACAGTGTACTTAAAAATTGTATTTTCTCTTCATGTAAAATGCGGAACCCTGGCAACCCTTCCTCCCACTTTTGTTTGTCCCATATAGTTTGTATGACTATTACACTTGTCACATGTGCTACGTCCACATACATTATAAATCCCCCAGGACAATGTTACAACTTTTGTTTTAGACCAACACTGTTTTCGTAAGTGGCTTTTGAGCACGCGAAATGTGCTTATTCTGCACTGAAATGTGCTGTGTGTATGAAATGCATGCTGGATGTAGAAGACTTAGTATGGAAAAAAATGAATGCAAAATCTCTAATAATTTTATTAATTACATGTAGAAATCATAATCTGTATTTATTATGTGTATTTTTGCATACCTTACATTTCACATCTTAAAAATTTTTTAATTGACTGATTAACATATTTCTAGGAGGCAGTGCTGCTTTAGGCGATCGTGTGTGTTTAAAAGAAATTGAGAGAAAAAAGAGTGGGTTTTCCCCCCCTTCCTACCTTTTACCATTTCCAGTCGCCTTCATTCATCCCTGAAGCTCTGAGTTCCCTACTGATTTCATTTCTCTTCATACTGAAGAACTTGCTTTAGCATTTCTTACAGAGCAGGTCCATTGGCAACAAGTTCTTCCAGTTTCCTTCTTCTGTAAATGTCTTTTTTTCACGATCAAAAATTTCCATAGATAAAGAATTCCACCTGAATTCCACCTTTATGTGCTTTAAAAATGTCGTTTCAGTGTCCATGGCCTCCAGAGATGAGAAGGGCTTGCTTGTTCTAATCGTTCTTCCCCATGTGCAACATGTTTTTCCTCTCTGGGTGCAGTCAAGAGTTTCTTTATCTTTGGTTTTCAGTTAGTGGGACTGGGATGTGCCTAATCATGGTTCTCTTTGAATTTCTCTTGTTCTGGAGTTCATTAAGCTACTTTAAATCTGTTGAGTTTATGTCTTTTACCATATTTGGGAGACTTTCAGCCATTTTTCAGCTCCATTCTCTCTGTCCTTCTGGGACACATTTATCCATATGTTAGAGCTTTTGAAATTCTCCCACGGGTTTCTGAGGCTCTGTTCACCTTTTTCTCAGCACGCTCTCTCTTCTTTAGATTAGATGGTTTCTATTAATACGTCTTCAGGTTAACCCTCTTTGTCCTCTGTCATTTCCCTTCTATTGAGCATTTTTAAAATTTCAACCCTTGTATGTTTTCAGTTATTAATTCCCTTTTTTTCTGTCTCTATTGGTACTGCCTACCTTTCATTTATTGTGAACATCCTTCACTTCCCTGGGCATGGTTCTGATAGCTGCTTTAAAGCTCCTGTCTGCTGATGCTACCATCTGATCGCCTCACCATTGGCATCTGTTGATTTTGAGAACGTGTCACATTTTCCTGGATCTTTGTATGTTGAATAATTTTGGATTATATCGTAGACATTGTAATGTTCTGTTGTGGACATGGAAGCTTTTGGTGTATTGCTCCAAAGTGTTCTGATGTTTTTAATTTAACAGGGACTCAATTAGAGTCCATGTAAAAAGTACCCACGAAGTGAAATTTCACTCAGAGGGTCCTGACCTTGGTGTGAGGCCTGTGCCTTCATGCAGGACTTCCATTTCCTTACTACTGCCAAAACATATGTGTTCATTTACCTTTTGAGAACAGTCTGCCCTTTAAACACAAATGTTGCTCTCACCCCAAAGCCATTATTTATTCCAAGAAATGCATTTTCCCTTGTCTGTTCTTTAGACCAGACCAGTCCTTGATAGCATTTGACTTCTCAGAGCCGTAGGGTATGCACAGGCATCCTCCTTGGCCCTTTGTGGTCTCCGCATCAGGATGAGTCATGCCTATTTATTCTCTGCACCTTCCCGGTATGCTCCTGCTGTTAACTGTTCTCAGAGGCCTCAGTCACCTAACCACAAACTATACCTCCATATACCTGCTTACTTCTTCAAGGATCAAATATTCATTTTAAGAGATCATGTAATGTCAACTCAAAACAAGGAAGAGGTGCATTTTTCTTACGAGTCCCATAATTAGCAAGAATTGTCTTCAAGCAAATGCTAGCGGTTATTATATGAACGATGTATCTTTCACTCAGTCCCTGCCCCTTATCAGCATTGCATCCCCTTGACCTCCTCATATTAAGAAACCATCCCACTGCTAAGCTGCAAAGCAGGTAATGGCTGCTCATGGGAAGGAGAAGGCTGTTGGTAGTTTTGTTCCTCCAGTTATACATCTGTCTTATGTAAGATGTATAAGATATACCACAGGGCATTAGGATACTTTTCTCCTCAAACAATAGTTACAACTGTATTTCTCAACCTGTAATGATAAAACCACAGCAATATAATATGAGCAGTGCTCTGCCTTGCCAGGATACTGAATATCTGTGAGTTTGGAATATTGAGAGCACAGTGAGGAACAGAGACATGAAGAATTCAGGAGCTTTGGATAGGAATCTTCTGGCAGTATCTGTGGACAAGGCTGAGGGCCTTCATCCGAGGAACAGCCATGCATTTTTCATGGCCATCCAATGTACTTGCTTCCTGAGACTGCATCTTTGATAAAGGATTTACTAATTCAGTTTACAACTTTTAGTTATTTTGGCTTTTTGGAATCAAACCCTGACCTAGTTTTCTGTAAAACTAGAATATTTGAAAGCTTAGAGATCAAAACCTACAACCATAACCCCTGTTGTAGAGGTAGGGAAACTGAGGCACAGAGAGGTTCAGTAACTTTCCAGGGTCATACACTAGAAATAGGGCGCCCAGGGGCGCCTGGGTGGCTTAGTCGGTTAAGCATCCGACTTCAGCTTAGGTCATGATCTCACAGTCTGTGAGTTCGAGCCCCGCATCAGGCTTTGTGCTGACAGCTCAGAGACTGGAGCCTGCTTCGGACTCTGTGTCTCCCTCTCTCTCTGCCCCTCCCCAACTCATGCTCTGTCTCTCTCTCTCTCTCTCTCTCCCGCCCCCCCCCAAAAACAAATAAATGTTAAAAAAAAAAGTTTTTTTAAATAAAAATTAAAAAAAAAAAAAAAAGAAATAGGGGGCCCAGAGTTTGAAGCCTGACCTTGTGATTCCAAAGCCTACTCTTTAAACCATGATATTGCCTCTGAAATATTATGGATGTGGTCTTGTTTTATGTTCTGATCTTCTCCTTACACTATGCTGAACCACAGTACATTTTCACAAACCAGATTCAAATTGCATAGTGTGTGGAGGAAATGAAAGTCTCTGCAGTGGCATAAAGGCTGGAACCAGAGCACATGCTGTTGCATTTGAATGAACTCCATTTTTATTTTTAAAACTAGCAGCCGCTTTTTCAAGTTTAAAAACATTCTCATTCATCCTTGCAGCAGGTTCTGGGTGAGAGTTGCCGTCTTTTGTACAGGTTTGTAAAAGCAGGAAACCTTGAGTCACTTGTTCCAGGCCTCTTTGCAGCCTGGAAGCAGACATGTACGTGAAGCCTGGGATACTGGGTCCTGGATTAGCGGGATTCCTCATCTCTGATTTCTTAACCCTTGGATTGACCTCATTCTCTGAATGGATGGTCTAGGTGATTTCAAAGGGAAGAGTAAGCCCTTCAGACACAACTGACATGTATTTTGGCCTCTTGGGCTCTGTTCCTTCACTCACGGCCTTGCAGGAGAGGACCAATGGCCTCCATTATTGTCCCACCTGCACTGGGAAGTAAAGCATCAAGGCCTCTTTTAAACAGCATTGATTCCTTTCATAACTGGTATTGGGTCATTTTCACTGCTCCCTGGGTATGTTGAAATACTCATTGGTTTTGTGCTAAATCCCACGTGTTACCCCCATCATCGCTTTTCTCTCTGTTGGAATAATAACTTGGCATCTGGCTTCTCTGCCTCACGACAAAACTTAGGAGGTCTCAGAGGCAATGATTTAGCATTTATTCTCCATTTCCGTAAACAGAGTATCACAGGTCACCCATGGACCTATTTTTCTTTTTTTCTTCCTCCCTCCCTGCCCCCCGTAAGAGAGCAAAGGTACACTTTTATTTACTTTACAGTGAGTTTAAATCCTTGAAGGGCACAGTATCACATGGATTCTGTGGCCAATGGCTTTAGCACTAAGGTTGCTTTGGAATTTGGCATGAACCACGGCACTGTTTCCATGAGCACGAGTTACTTTTCCCCAGATTACTCTGGTTTTGTTCAGTTTGCCACCAGGAGTCACTGTGCTCTTCTTTGCTTTCTACACATAAGCACATCTCTTGCCTAGATACAGTTCTGTTTCATCTCAAGCATAAACGTCTTGAATTTTAAGAAGAGCTCTGTGCTGTCTCTGGTTCTGGAGACCCCGCTTTCTCCAGCAAAAATGGCCTTGGACCACAGCCTTCCAGACATACTTGTCATTTTAGGAGTCCTGCTCCCAGCAGGCCTCCACAGGTTCCAAGATGGCAGAACGAGGTCTGTTTTCCTTATTGGTGCCATTCTTTGTCACTTGGTATGTTGGGCAGGAAGAGAAACATTGTTTACTTTGAAGAATTTCATTTAGAATTTGTTGAATTGATTTAAATTGAATCACAGCATGTCCATTTGGATCCAGGAAGATGCAGCACTGAAGCCCACGTGTATGACTATTTTCGGCATCCTCTCCAGTCCTCTCTATCACCTGAGGAGCCCCTTGTACTGTAGCTGCGGAAATAGTATATGGTGTACTACACAATGGCTCAGGAAAAAAACCTTCTTAAACAGCTCCTGTTTGCTGGAGTCGTTGCTCTTTTTATGAAAGCTTTGCTTGGATTTTCGCTCAGTCTCTCAACACATATTTGTCAGGGCACCATAAGAAGTTCTGGAAACACATCATGATTCGGGGAAGTTACAGTCTTGTGATGAAAACCTGGTAATAAATAGACAATAACAACAAAGTGAGGTCTGTGCTATCAGGGTGTGTAGGAAGACCATCAGAGCTGGTCTTGTGGATTCTAGAAAGGCTTTTTGGGGGAAATGGGGGTTTTGACGACGAGTCACTGAATGAGTAGAAGTTAGCCAGGTTAAGAGTATGGACAAGAGCACTGCAAACAGAAAGAGTAGAATATCGATGTCAAGAGAGAATATGCTGTATTTGGTAAAGTGTGTGTTATTCTGCGTGGATATTGCGAAGTAAAGCTGCAGAGGTGAGTGGGGCCCTTGTATAATGAGTGGAGAGGTGATACTCAGACTGTGTTGCTGCAAAACAACTACTACAAACTTAGCAGCTTAAAACAACACACATCTATTGTCTTACACCTTCTGAAGTCCAGGTCGAGCCTAGCTGTGTTCTGTGTTCTAGGGTCCCACCGGGCAGCAATCCAGGTATCTTCTGGGGCTGTGGTCTAATCAGAGGCTTAACTGGGGAGAGCTCTCAGGTTGTGACAGTTTCCTTGACGCTGCAGAACTGAGGTTTCAGTCTCCTGGTGGCAGCTGCTCTCAGTTCCCAGAGGCCACCTGCGCTTCCTTGCCACATGGGCTTTTCCAGCATGGGTGCTTACGTGGCATCTTGCTGCTTCTAGACCCATAGGATTCTCTCTGGTGTGTATGCTAGCCAAACAGAGTTCTGTAGAGTACCGTAATCATGAGAGCGACCTCCCATCACCTTTGTCATATTCTGTTGCTTAGAAGCAAGGCACAGGCTGCACCCATACTCTAGAGGAAGGGACTATACAAAGATTAGAATACCAGGAGGTGAAGATTATTGGGGAGAGGAGGTCACCATAGGTTCTGTTGGTCACAGAGGTTTATGCTTTAAAGGGAACAGTTGGGAGTCACTGAAAGGTTTTAAGCACAAGTTTGCTGTTTGGTATAGAAAATACATGGCGGGTGGCACAGTTACAGTCCAGAAGACTAGCTAAGAAGCTGTTCCAACAAACCATGTAGGAGACGAGGTTGGCCAAGGATATACGATGCACATTTTTCTGGCTTGGTGGTTGGTTGGTGAAAGCAGAGAAGCTGGAGCCAGGAGCCAGTTGTAGTAAAAGATTCATATGAGGCTCAGCTCTGGTTCTCGCCTCCCTGAGCTCCAGCTCTGTGGCCTCAGACCACATCTCTCTGTTTGCAAGAGAGTCTGGGGAAGATCGTGTTGATGGAGCACAGTCAACTTGCCACCACCAGAAAAATAACCTAAAATACTGGTCTTAACAGTGGAGTCAGGACTGTATCTGTCCATCATGAAGTATTGAGTGCTCGTGTTCCTACGCAATAGCCATCTTAATTTGAAGACTTTTGGCTTGAAGGGCTGCTGTATGCCAGGAGTACAGTGATGCCGCGGTGTCATGGTGATGCCTGTGTGTTTTAACTCTTGATGGTCTGGCTAGGTTTGTCGGGCTGTTTCACCCACTAGCTTTTCTTCCTCCTGC